GGAGATCGAATCAGTGATTAAAAGCCTTCCTAATGGGAAAACTCCGGGACCTGATGGGTTCACGAAAGCTTATTATATAAAGTTCTTACCGCTATTAGGCCCCCATATGTGTAGATTCTTTAATAAAATTATTTCTGGAGAACCTATACCACCCTTATTTCTGTCAGCATACATATCAGTAATTCCTAAAGAGGGCAAAGATCCTACTGTACCCCAAAATTACAGACCAATATCCCTTCTTAGTACAGATGTGAAAATTTTCTCGAAGATACTGGCCAATAGACTCCCAGCTTTGGTACATCCAGATCAAACAGGTTTCATACGAGGAAGAGAATTACGCGACAATACTAATAGAGCTATTAATCTGATTCATTGGATAGAAGCTAGTTTGGCTTCACCACCATGCCTTTTATTGTCAATAGATGCTGAAAAGGCATTCGATAGGGTGGATTGGATGTTTATGGAGGAGACATTAAAGGTAATTGGTATAGGACCGAATATAAGGCAGGGAATTGCAGCACTTTACAGTAAACCAGAAGCGAGAGTAAGGGGTTGATTTACTAACCTTATAAACACACCACGAACATGTATACACATCTGTAGTGTGTTCCCTCCCAGCATGATCTATGGGTGGAATCTAAACACCTTTGTAGTGTGTACACACCAAGCAGGTGTGTTGTGCAAAGCCAAGCATGAATTGCAAGGTGATGTTGTGTAAATTAGCTCTATGTCGTGTTGCTTGCGTTGATGAATGCAGGAATGTAAATGCATGAGCTAACCATTTTTGTCTAAACTGTGAAGCAGCATTATATATGCATCATGTGCATGATTTTTCCATATATGGCATTAGTGGAAATATGCTTTTAGAGACTTTTTGGTTGATAAATACGTTTTGCTGTGTGAAAATCACACGCACCTGGTGCGTGCGTGTGTTTAGGTTTAAGAGTCAAAAGCGTAGTATCTTCCCCATTTACTATACAAAATGGAACGAGACAAGGATGCCCATTGTCTCCTTTATTATTTGTATAAATGTTAGAACCCCTTTTAACTAAGATTCGAAACAGTTCAGCTATACATGGAATTAGAGTAGGGGATAAAGAACATAAATTATCAGCATATGCAGATGATATTTTATTTTTCCTCACTCAACCACCGATATCCCTTCCTAATCTACTACAAGAACTAAGTATATATGGTAATATATCTAATTTTCGGATTAATATTTTGAAGCCAGAAATGTTGCCATTAAATTTATCTCCGGCCGTTAATCATAGTTTGAAATCCTCATTCACTTTTAAATGGGCCTCAGAGCATTTTCGTTATTTGGGAATCGAACTTTCAAGTTCGTTGAGACAAATGTATGAACTTAAAGAATTGTTGAAAGTGATTACTAAGGACCTTGGCTCTTGGGATAAAACAACATTTACTTGGTTAGGCCGCATAAATATTTTGAAAATGAATGTTCTGCCGAGAATATTATTTTTTTTACAGTCAATACCGATTAGATTGCCGCCATTTTTTTAAAACAATTACGTAGCTTGTTTTTAAGATTTGTGTGGAATAACAGAAAACCAAGGTTGTCATATGATATTTTGAGGCGCAGCAAACAAAATGGCAGCTTGGGACTGCCAGATGTCTCTCTTTATTATAAAGCTGTTGCATTACAGAAGATACTAGATTGGCAGTATTATGAGAAGGACAAACAATGGGTTCTGTTGGAAAAATATATGGCCGGTAGAAATGTAGCTAATGCCCACTGGCTACCATCGGCCAGTAGAGGTTTGGCGGCCACAGTATCACCCCTGACTATACATACTTTAAAGGTATGGGATACAGTAAATAAAAGGGGAGAATTGGTCCCCAATATATCCCCTTTAGCACCAATTGGTGGTTTCCCCTGGTTCTTACCAGGAGAGCAATTATCATATTTTCGGACTTGGGTGGTGGATGGGGATGTTCGTTTGGGCAGATTTATGGCGGAGAACGCTCTTATCCCATTGGAGGAACTGAGGGAAAAAAGGGGTACATTTCCTTTAGATGCTTGGCGCTACTTACAACTCAGTAACTTCCTTCGGGAACATATTAGTCTAATTAGACCACTTGGGTCTCTAACTTTTTTTGAAAAATTATGTGACTTGAGGTCCCCCCCTAGTCTCTCCCTATCTCTTATGTATAAAATGTTATTGAAAATAAGCTCAAGAGGTTCTTTGTACTTTATGAGAGAATGGGAGAGGGACATGGGGGTGACTTTTTCGGACGTACAGAAGGACCAAATACTAGCGCGGGCCCATAACACATCTATAGACTCCAGAGTTCAAGAAACTAATTATAAGGTGCTTACCCGGTGGTATCGGGTTCCATATTCTTTAGGGAAAATGTATCAAAATGTCTCTCCTCTATGTTGGAGGAACTGTGGGTTACAGGGGACATATATACATGTGTGGTGGGAATGTCCAAAGCTTAAATCTTTTTGGGAAGATGTTAGGTCTCGTTCACACCTAGGCGTAATGCATATGCGCGTCTGTCGCGCGTTTTTTTACCGCAAAAGTTACGCGTTTCCGAAGGCTACTTGGCTGTATCCCAATGGAAACGCGCAACAAAGCGGCCCAAAGTAGTATCTGTACCTTTTCAGGCGTGGGCCGTTTTGTAGCGCGTTAGGGACGGGCGGAAATACGCCAAGGTGGGAACGAGACCATAGAATACAATGGGATTTATATTTTTGAGCGTTTTGTAGAGCGTTTGTCGAGCGTAGAACGTGCTACAAACCGTTCAGGTGTGAACGAGGGCTTAGAGAACAAATACAGACCACTCTGGGGGAGACTCTACCGTTTTCTCCAGGGGTCTTTTTGTTGCATTTGATGCCTGTGTCAAAGGCTAAATACAAAGCTACAGTTTTGCCTCATCTTCTAAATGCCGTGAACGTCGCAGTGAGAGCAATAATTTTAGGGCCATCAATCACTGATAAGACTAAACTGATGAGCGGTAAAAGCTTTTAAAGCGTCGCCTATGGTCAATTTTGGGCATGGTAGTTTTTTGCAATTTTCGCGGGTGCGTGCAATTTTTAAGCATTACATGTTTGGTGTCTATTTACCCGACGTGACCCCGACTTTTATATTTTACAAAAAAATTGGGTAATAATAATTTTAAATGTAAAAAAATTTTCAGTACATTTTCTGAAATATAGTAAAAAATAAAAGTGGTGATTAAATACCACCAAAAGAAAGCTCTATCTGTCCCCAAAAAATGGTATAAAATTAATTTCAGTACAGCGTTGCATGACGGAATATATGTCAGTCAAAGTAACGCAGCGCTAAATATTGAAAAATGGCCTGGCCAGGAAGGGGATATAAACACCTGGTCTTCAAGTGGTTAAATTAATTTAAAAAATCCAAAAAATTGATCCACCGACGTAATCCTTAGGTCAATCAGGACGTCCAGCGTTGTCCATAACAACGGCGACAACATTTTTTTAAATGACAAATAGCACCTAGCTGCAAGCACTATAAGAAGTGTTACCCTCTAAATGTATCAAATTATAATAATGAATGTGCTGCGCTTCAACTAGAACAATAAATAAGTAAACAAATCTCTATAATAAATATGTGCTAAACAATACATGCAATCAAAGTGTTCACAATTGCTCTACTTGTAAATATAAATCCTAAATAATATCCCTCTGGAAAGTTCAATCATATATTCCGTGTTCAGATGTACACAAATGTGGAATCACACTTATAAAGTGCTCAAGATTTGTCCCACATATACCACACTCTTTATCCTTCCACTTTGAAAGTTCTTTATACAAGGTCCATACACCAATTCCAATTATCACCCAGGTGCTCACCCCTCTTATGGGTCCGCTCACCTTATAAGCCGACCTAAGCAGGTCTAAAATCACTTTATAGGATCTCCAATCGATCTTATTCAAAGGCCGTCTCTCCACAATCCTTACACAGAAAATGACATCAGCATGCCATCACGACCATATCCAATAAAATATAAAAACAGCCCATAGCGTAAAACCAAAAGATTAAAAACTCCTTTATTTAAAAAACTACTGTCGAAGAAACAGCCACAGCAGGGAGAACAGCCTGCTAAAGCAGACCATTCTCTCCACCAAAGTAAACAACTAGGCGGAGCTAGTGGTGACATCACCGCTGGCTCCACCTATTTGTTGTCATACAATGACAGTGTACTGTCCTCAGGTCATTTGAGGATTTATTCTATGACAACAAAAAGGCAGAGCCGGCCATGACGTCACAGCCGGCTATGCCAATTTGTTTTGATTTGGCAGACCCATATGACAGATGCCGGCCATATCAAAAGAAATAGTCGGAGCCAGCAGTGATGTCACCACTAGCTCCTCCCATTTGTTTACTTTTTGCTGGCACCTGTCATACAGGTCATTTTTCGGAGGGAGTTAGTTGCATGCGGACAGGTTGGGAGGCATCAGGTTTCTTTATTTCGACGAGTCATCTTGGACAATGCTGAACATCGTGGTTGATCTTAGGATTACGTTGGTGGATCAATTATTGGGGTTTTTTTAATTAAAGGAATTGTCAAAAAATGTTGTTGTGTTTTTTTTTTCAGTTAAAATGATTTTTTTCAAAAGTTTTTTTATTTACAATTTATTTGAACCCTTTAGTGAATGAATAGGGGTACAAGTACCCTTACTCATTCAAAAAGGGGGCAGCATCTGGGTGCCCCTTTATTAAAGGGGTACCGTGATGCAAATAAGCCCCCATGCCCATAGACCCCTACAAGCAATAGGTCAGGGCTTGTAGGGAAGAGGCCCTTCGGCAGCTTAGTGAATAACCCCTATAATCTTTTTCAAATTAAATGTTTAGTTACGTTGAGCTTTCTTTGTACTGACTTGGTAAAAAGAGATGGGAGGGTGTTGTTCATAGTACGGCTAGCAACTATGTACACCATCATGTTCATAAGTTTGATTATAGATGTCTTGCAAAACATATATTTGAATTCTATATGATAGTAATTACCTGTAGTTTTGTTCTGAAATGCAGATATCACAGAGATGGAAAGCTGAAATACTGGTTTCACCCGGACTTCCACACTAAGACCAAACGATGTCACAATGTAGATATAGTAAGCTGCATATCTGTAAATGGTGATATTCTCTGGGAAAGACAATTTGATTAAAATTTAGTTGATATAGTCTTTCTACTTTTTATCTCACAACAAAGATTTTTCTTAGGTTTCTTTAGGTTTCATAGGTTTTTCTTTATTGTAAATACTGGGCACAATCCCAAACAACTAGAAGATGAAATTACTTGTTATTAAGTTGAAAGGGAAGTAATATCTAATCATGTTTGTAAAATGTTCATTTATGAGAGTAAGCGATTATCTGATATGCCCAGCTTCTACCATATCAGAAGTAAAACTATAAACAAAATGCCACAGTTTTAACCTGCCTATACTCTTTAAGCTTGCATAGGCATATACTGTATGTGTAAAAACAGACACATCAGGTATATTTATAGTTTTGTATATGGCCATACAGATATTTCAGAAGCTGCTATTAGCACCTGTTTACAGACAGACAGGTCGAAAGTGTTAGGGTAGGATTTCTTATATTTGTTTGTTCTAAAAATATGATTCCTTAAAAGATAGTGAAAAGCAGAAATAATATTTTTGCTAAGATAGGCTAACTGGATAAGAAATCCATCAGCCTCTGGTAATAAGGGATCTGGAAAAGGCTTCTAAAGACTGTCTACTGCCAAAGCCATTAAAGCATATCTGAACAATAATAAAAATACATTATAGCTTACTAGTCCTTACTAGATGTTGTGGCTCCATTTGTTTTTACTTTTCAGACTAAGAACAATTGCAGCAAGTACAGAAAATACATGTTTATCTTGCCAGATATGTGTTGTCGTCTTTTAAGACAAAGTATTTACCTTTCTTGTGTAAACTGCTAGTCTGATCAATCTATCACGTAATAAAAATTAAGAAAGACAGACATGTTTGAAGTCCACCCTGTATGACAACTATGACTGCCTTCATAGATACAATGGAGAAATGAATGCAGACACAAAGGAACAAGGAGTGTGTTATTTGCAGGATCCTCAGATGAAAATACAGAAAATTAAGCCTAATAAAAAAAACCCCGAATGTAGCCAGCACATCGAAGGACTAGTAAGCTACAATAAATATTTTTGTTGGCTATAGATACACTGGTGCACCTATAGCCAACACTTTCTTAGTATTGGATAGAGTGGGGAAGGTTTTCCAGCCAGTGGAGGCTCTGTTGGAGAGATTCCTTCACTTCCTGTATGAAAAAAAAGGTTGTTTCCGGGACAGTATGTGAGGGGAAATCTCTCTAAGAGCAATAGAGGGAGAAGTAAAAATGTTTTCTTTTTCAGGTTAAGTAGGGGAGTGCTAGCTATTTATTGTTGTATTTTTCCCTGGTGCAGATTTTCACTCACTTTCTGTCTGGTAAAACCCAAAACAGAAAGTGGGGGGAAATCTCTCGAATGGATTCCAAGAAAGCGGTAAAACCTGACAGAGATTCTAACCTTTCCCCATTCTATCCAAAAGTTACATCCAGCAGGAAAAGTAAGTCTGTAATTGGGGATATGGAAGGTTATAGTTCCGTATATATGGTGAACTTAACATTACAGAACAATGGCTAAACCATTTCCAACAATATATATAGAAAGATCTAGTTCAGTCACAAATATCTCCATATTCTACTAACACACAGCAGCACAAAGAGGCTAAAATGTACAAACCCTTAACCCTTGGCAAGTTGACCAAAAAATTGTTGACGTATACATTTCCACAGTAACAGATTTTTATTTTCTGTAAATAAAGCAATACAAGAAAATTAGCAGTAAAACAAACAACGTTTATGGTTATCACAGGAGTTAAATCTGAAAAATGCATTCAAGTAACCTATTAACACAAATGTACCTTATTTGCGTATCACTCGGCTGTAGATCCTCAAATCATCTCTGAATCCATACTGACATTGTCCTACCTTCTAGAGCAGGGGTGCCCATTAGGTAGATTGCGATCTACCAGTAGATCGCAAAGCGAACACTGGTAGATCGCGACCGGCTCACTGACTTGTGTCCTGTTCTACCCCAGTGCTCGTGCGACTGAATGTGTCAGATGCCGCAGACAGGAAGGAGAGAGGAAAGGAGACTTGGGAAGCTGCTGCAGTGGAGGTAAGAAAAGACAGGCAGGGGAGAGACAGCAGGGAATGTGAGAGAAGAGACAGCAGAGAGAGAGAGAAGAATGTGAGAGAGAGCAGAGAGAGAGAGAAGAGACAGCAGATAGAAACAGGGGAGAGAGAGAGAGGAGAGAGCCGGTTCACACCACAAAGTCTGCATTCCAGAGTGTTCGGCCTCTAGAATGCATTGGAACACAAGTCGACGGCTCGTTCAGGGGCAGGAGGGGGCATGACGGTGCATGGAAGTCAATGGCACCACAGCCACGCCCCCCACCATTTTTTTCATTAATGCCTGTGTTTTCCGGTCCAGCGCCATTGACTTCAATGCACCGCCATGCCCCCTCCCGCCCCTGAATGCAGGTGTTTTTTCATTGGTAGATCTCATTGAGCTCGTCATTTGAAAAGTAGATCTCCAGATGAAAAATTGTGGGCACCCCTGTTCTAGAGGGTGGCTACTTTTATTTCCCATGTGTGTGTTGTAAAGTAGCCACCACTCCAAGCTCACTCCCATGATTAACTATTATCTCAATACAAACTAGCAAACTAAACACAAGATTGCAATCTATCCCCAGAGTGAGCTTGGAGTGGTGGCTACTTTATAACACACATAGGGACAAGGGGGAACAGAAGTAGCCACCCTCCAGAAGGAAGGACAGCGCCAGCATAAATTCAGAGATGATTTGAGTATCTGCATCATCTGAGTGATGCACAAATAAGCTACATTTTTGTTAATAGTTAGGGAATGGATTTTTAAGTTTTATCTCCTGAGTTTAGTGTCACTTTAAGGAGTATCTTCCAGTGAGGATGCTTATTCCATTGCCAACTGTCAAAGGTGTGATTTCCCTTGTTTTCAGGAGATTTCTGCTCACTTTCTGTCATGTCTCTGATACATGACATTATGGAAAATCTCCCTGATGGTGTTAAATTCTATCCAAAACTAAAAATAAAAGATAATTTAGTTGAAGTTCTGCTTTAAAACCCAACTGAAGTTGATCATATTAATACTAACTATTATTTTGATAGGTAAAGAAAAAACATTGGAAAAGAGTATGGAAAATACAGTCCCTCTTTAATCAATATTAAAGCCCATTCAAAGCCAAAAAATAGATAATTGTTCAGGCTGTCTAAATATGATTGTGTAATAAAATTGACACCAAAACGACCCAGTGCTCTCAGTAATGCACACAGATCTGTTGAAATGTTTGCCAGAAATAAACAAAAGAGTGCCTCTCTAGTCTAGAAGTCTCTATTGATCTGTAGTAAGCTGTAAGAATTGTAGCGGTCTATTAAGGCTACCAATTGTTAAACAAATTAATTAATAAATAAAATGCAATACAATACAACAATAATGATAAATTTAAAAATAATGAATGCAAAAAGGCTGCTTAGAAAATGTTCATGAAAGCGTTATAATGCCTATACACTTACAATAATTGTTTGCCTTCATCCTAAGTATAAAGAGGAGCCTATTAAAACTATGGGGTCTATTCACAAAGCTGCCGAATGATCTGGCCGTAGCTTCGGCCGATCCTTCGGCTGGCTTCGGCCCCAGGACCCCTTCGGTTCAGGAGAACCGAGGGGGTGCTGTACGGGCTATTCACAATAGCCCGTACAGCTCCCGATCACGGCCGAGCAGCTCAGTCGAGCGCTGAGCCGTGCTGAAAGC